GGCTCAGCAATTCACTCACTCAGCTCCCAAAGGCGCGGGATGACAGGCTGAGCCATCGAGCCCGGGCTGTTTTTATTCTTTTGTTTTTGAGTTGGAGTCTCGCTCCGTCGCCCAGACTGGAGTGCAGGGGCCGCTCCCGGCCGCCGCCGCCTTGCCCGCTGGGCTCCGGCGATCCTTCCGCCTCAGCCCTCCGAGGAGCCGTGTTCTTATTCTTTTCGCTGCGGTCTCAGTCTGTCGACTGGGGGAGGCTGCAATACGGGGAGCAACAGAAAGGAAGAATGGAGGCCGAGCACGACGGTGTGTGCCTGCAGTCCTGCTGCTCGGAGGCTGAGGCAAGGAGGGTCACTTGAGTCCAGGAGTCCAGCCTGGGCAGCATAGTGAGACTCGTCTCTAAAGGGGAAAAAGGGATGAGTTCTATCAAGACAGAAGGCGAACCTGTAGAATTTGGGAAGTGACAGGATGGGATGGGAGTAGCTGGAGGTGAGGGAGAGGTCAAGGGTAAACCAGCACCCTAATTCTGAAGACTTTATGGCTTCTTTTCATCATACCATCAACCCTAGGACTTGCACGCCATGGAAAGATGAGGTCAGAGGGAAAGAAAAAAAAATCTCCTAGCCAAAAAAAAAAAAAAGTTGTAAGTTTGAGACAAAATTTCCCCCAAGCATAAACCAGTTCCTGGAATGTCCCTTCGGCCAGTAGGTCAGTCTAACCTAGGAGGGAACACTCTCCTCTGCTCATTTCTTCATTGCTGAATTTGTCTGGGGCCCAGCAAAATGGCGTGGCTTGACACTGGGGCTCGCTCTGCTCTCTGATCCGACTGCTGGGGTCCTTAGTGAGCTCCAACTCCCCCCTTACTGAGACTCAGGTCTGGGTAGGGCTAGGGAGAACATCCCGGGATGTCGAAGGCGGGGACCCGAGTGGCCTGGATACTTGGGTCTGGACCTGCCTGCTTTCCTTGTTCTGTGGAGCCAGCAGCCACACAGCGTGATCCAGAGACGCCTGATGGAGGGAAACCAGAACTGGCCGCCGGGGGAGTCTCCCTGGGCGCAGGCCCTGGCACACGGCCCGGAGGGCGGGAGGAAGGCCAGCAGGACCGAGATCCCAGCTCTTCTGGTCCACTGCAAGGTGGGGTCTCCCGCAGGGAACCGCGTTCACTAGCAACCCAGCCTGAGGCTCGCCTCCCCTGCTACCCTTTCTGCCTGGACTGGGAGGGAGGGGGTAGGAGGGAGAAAAGGCACCTCACCCCCAGCCTGGACCTAAGCACGGGTCGCTCCGTCTTCTTTCTTCCCTGCCTCAATCCATCTTCTCCTGTGCAGTCCCATCTGTCACTGCCATGGCTCCATCCCCTTCCCTGGGTCACAGCATAGTGTTTAACTGTAAATCCGTAAGTACTCCAGGGTGCTCCACATGCATGAAGGGCGTGTGCAGGTGTGGACAGCGGCCTTGTCACCTCTGGAACCGTGAGCCATCCTACCCCTCTTGGTTGCTCGCAACACACGCCCGCTGGTCCTCCGCTGCCATTTTTGTGGAGCGTTTCTCCTGCCTGGATGGCTCTTCCCTTGTTCTCTAATCATTCTGGGTCCACGTTCCACCGTCTTTCAAGGCCCAGCCCCGATGTTACCTTCTCCCTGAAACTGTCCTAATTTCCCCAACAGGAAACAGCTTTTCCTCCCCTCTGTCTCCAGGGCACTTCACTCACATCCTTTCGTAGACCTTAAAACTTTCTACCTGGATGGGCGTGGTGGCTCATGCCTATAATAATCCCAGCACTTTGGGAGGCCGAGGTGAGAGAACTGCCTGAGCCCACAGGTTCGAGATCAGCCTGGGCAACTTGGTGAGACCTCATCTCTACAATAAATCAGAAAATTAGCCAGGCGTGGTAGCGCGCACCTGGAGTTCCAGCTCCTCGGAAGGCTGAGGCGGAAGGATCGCCGGAGCCCAGCAGGTTGAGGCTGCGGTGGCCGGGAGCGGCCACTGCACTCCAGTCTGGGCGACAGAGTGAGACTCCAACTAAAAAAAAGAAAAGAAAAAAAAAACAAAGAAAGTAGTTCTAGCTACCTGAAAGGCTGAGAAGGATCTGCTGAGCCCAACAGGTCGAACCTGAGGTAGCCGTGAGTATGCCCCTGCATTCCAGCCTGGGTGGCAGAATGAGACTCAAAAGGCCAAATAGCCGGGCATGGTGGTTCACGCTTGTCATTTCAGCATTTTGGGGCTGAGGCGAGAGGATTGCCTGAACCCAGGGGTTCGAGGCTAGCCTAGGCAACTTGGCGAGATCTCATCTCTATAATAAATTAAAAAATTAGCTGTGCGTGGTGGCATGGGCCTGTAGTTCCAGCTACTTGGGAGACTGAGAAGAAGGATTGCCTGAGCCCAGCAGGTCGAGGCTGCAGTGGCCATGAGTGTGCCACTGCACTCCAGCCTGGGAGACAGAATGAGACTCCAACTCAAAAACATTTAAAAATAAATAAAATAAAAGTCACTTTTGCCCCAACTGTACCAAGTTCCACACAAATTCGTTTTATTTATTTATTTATTTAGCATCAGGGCTTCACTCCGTGATCCAGGCTGGAGTGCCGTGGCACACTCACACCTGCTGGGCTCAGGTGATCCTTCCGCCTCAGCCTTCCAAGTAGCTGGAACTATAGGAACACACCACCACAGCTGGCTAATTTTTTGATTTATTACAGAGATGCGGTCTCGCCAAGTTGTCCAGGCCGGCCTTGAACCCGTGTGCTAGGCAATCCCCTTGCCTCAGCCTCCCAAAGTGCTGGGATTACAGGCGTGAGCCAGCGTGACTGCCTTTTTTTTTTTTTAACATTCAAGTTATATTTTACTTGGTTGGAAGGCGTCCAGGGGTGGTCCTTCCACTCATATCTACGAGGGAATCATTAGAGGGGTGGGAAAGTTGAAGGATCCACCCCAGTGTCTTCTCCTGGGGACTCCCTGGCCACCATAATCACTCTTTCTTAGTGCCGGGACCAGCTGCTTAGAGTGGCCGTGGACACAGGCACCCAGTACAATCGGATCTCCGCTGGATGCCTCAGCCGCCTGGGGTAAGAGTGTGGTCCAGACATGCGGGCGGGGGATGGGGATTCTTTTTGGGGTGATGAAAAGATTCTCAAATTAGATAGTGGGGATGGTCGCACAACTCTGTGAACACACTAAAAAACACTGAACTTTTATTTACACTTTACAAGACGGAATTGTATGGTCTATGAATTATATTTCAATAAAGCTGTTATCTTTTATTTAATTTTTTGAGTCAGGGTCTCACTGTTGCCCAGGTGTAGTAGAGTGGCACGATCATAGCTCCCCGCAGCCTCAAGTTCCTGGGTTCAAGCCATCCTTCTGCCTCAGCCTCCAGGTGCCACCATGCCCAGTTGATTTTTTGATTTTTTGTAGACGAAGTCTCACTAAGTTGCCCAGGTTCCCACCTCGGCCTCCTAAAGTGCTGGGATTGCAGGTGTGAGCCACTGCACCTGGCCAAAGTATTTTGGGAGGCCAAGGCGAGAGGACTGCCTGAGTCCAGGGGTTCGAGACCGGCCTAGGCAACTTGGTGAGACCTCATCTCTACAATAAATAAAAAATTAGCCTGGTGTGGTAGCATGCACCTGTAGTAACAGCTACTAGGAAGGCTGAGGTGGAAGGATTGCCGGAGCCCAGCAGGTCAAGGCTGTGATGGCTGTAAGCGTGCCGCTGCCCTCCAGCCTGGGTGACACAGTGAGATGCTGACTCAAAAAAAAAAAAGAGTGGCCGGGCTTGGTGGCTCAGCCTGTAATCCCAGCACTTTGGGAGGCCGAGGCGAGAGGA